CCCTTGTTTAAAAGGAAAACAGGAGGAGCAAGAATGGGAACTGATTGGTATGTGGTAGAGAAAGAGAGAGAGAGACCCGAGCAAATGCCTTCTCACACCCCAGAAACAGCTCAGTTAGCCATCTCTGAAACAGGGGATAAGCATTCTTAGATTTACATTGTTTTCCTTTTTGTTTATCATTGTATTTTAATTATTTTTATTTTGAGGGGGTGGTAATGAGGTTTATTGATTTTTAGAGGAGGTACTGGGGATTGAACCCAGGACCTTGTGCATGCTAAGCATGTGCTCTACCACTTGAGCTATACTCTCCCTCCTGTTTTCCTTTTTAAATGTTCTTGCATTACACAGGAAATCCTTGTTCATTAAATTTTTTATGGAGAAATATATGTAATATAAAATTTATCATTTTTGAGCATTTTTAAGTGTACAATTCAGTGACATTAAGTATATTTCCACTGCTGTGCAACCACTGCCACCACCATCCATCCCTACAACTTTCTCATCCTCCCAAACTGAAACTCTGTCCCTCTTAAACAGTAACTCCCTGAGTGTTTGCTTAAAATGCAGATTCCAGAGCATTGGTCCAGACTTGCTTGTCCTGAAACTCCAAGGCTAGTTTTGCCCAGGGATTTTTCTTTAAATCAGGATTCTGATGTACACAAAAATTTAACCACAGGTGTAGAGCAAGGTGAGGCACTATCATAGTGGGAAGAGCCCAGATCAGGTAGTTTTGAATTCTGGTTCCAAATTTGTCACTAACTAGATGTATGAGCTTGACCAGTGCTATACCTTCTTGGGCCTTAACCTCCTCTTCTGCAGGACCACCTGCATTTCTACCTGATTTCTGAGTTACTGGCTCTTCGGAGAGCTTGAGGACAGTCCAGTCTCCCCTTCCAGTGCTGCTGACTCTCCCAGTCACAGCTGCAGTTTCTGCTCACTGGGCCTTGGTTTCCTCACCGGTCAGTGAGGTGACAACAGTAGCTACCTCAGAGGGTTGCTGAAAGGATTAAAATTATATTTTAAAAATTTATTTTCTTTAGGGACATTTGGGTAGATTAGAAAGTCTGAAAGGAGGAGGAGGGTACAGCTCAGTGGTAGAGCACATGCTTAGCATGCACAAGTTCCTGGGTTCAATCCCCAGCACCTCCACTTTAAAGTCGCTACCCTAGACCATTAGCTAAGGCATTTAACTACTGAGATCACCAACTCCTACTCAGCTTCCTAAGAGTCCTTGGGAGGAAAGGATGAATAGTTAACCTTGGAGTCATCCAAGCACCCAGCCCCAGCATGACTTGGCATTCTGAGAGGTCATCAGTCCCTTCCTGCAGCCGCACAGTGCCCATCTGTTCTCTTCGGAGGACCCTGTCACGTTCTGTCCTGCTCTGTGGTTATTTACAAATGTCTCTTCTCCTCCTAGCTGAGTGGTATGGCCCTTACTGACTCCAAGGACTGTCCGCTCTGCACTCTTGGGGTCTGCCTTTACCACACTGACTAAGTGCTGCCCATCTCCTACTGGACTGCAAACACCTTGAGAGCATGGACCTCACAGAATCAAGGTCCTCATTTATCCAATAAAAATTCACTGAGAAACCTCTGTGTGCCAAGTATTATTCGAGGTTCTGGGGATGCAGAAGAGCCTATCCATTTCCCATCACCCACACCCAAGTCCTGGCCAAAAATGGACTTTGTTCGTGCCACAGTTAGTTCTCCTACATCCTGCGTTACCCACTCCACTTCACCCTCCATACAGCAGAATTTTAAACATAAATGTGATCAGGTCACCCCCCCCCACCACCACTTGTTTTCAGCCTCCCATGGGGGTTCTAGTTGTACTTAGGATGAGAACCAAAATTCTTACATTCGGGACCTGGCCTGCCTGTCCTACCAGGGGCTCACCTCTGACCCCAGTCTTCCAGCCCTGCCCCTCCCTCACTGTCTCACCTGTTGTCACCCCAGCCTTCTTGTAGCTCCTCAAACCCTGGCCCAGGATGCCATCTGCCTTACCACTGACACTAAGATGGAGTGTGAGGTGCAAGATGGATATTAGGAGTCCACTCCTGTAAGAGGAAGTGGGAGGAAGCAGGGTCAGGCAGAGAAAGAAAATCCATGATTGTAGGCCTGCTGAAACTTCAGCCAACCTCCTGGGGAAGCCCTGAAGCAAATACTGTTCAGCAGTCCCGTGAGCTTCTCCAGTTAGGGTGTGACGGAGACCTCAGGCAAGGTGGTTCTGTGCAAGTGCTGTGCAAGGCTGTCGACTGACTGCACCCCTTGGTTAAAGGCAAGTTCTCCCTTGACAGGTGAGGGCACATCCATGTGTCTACCACGCCTGCCAGTACTGTTGTCCCTTAGCATCCTGCCAGGCTGCCGGGCAGCTCCAGCTCGTGGCCCGCTTCCTCTCAGAAACTTTCACTCAGACCTCTGGGCTATAAGTGCTCATAAAACTCAGCAGCTATCACACTATGTAATCACTTTTGTGTGTGTAGTTATCTAATCAATGTCTGCCTTCCTCAAGAAAGTCTTATGTTCTGTGCAGGAAAGGACGGTCTGTGAGACTCACTATAAACCCAGAGCTCAGCCAGGACCTGTCACGTGGTAGGTGCCCAGTAAAAACCTGTTGAGGAAAGGAATAAAGACTGGTAGCCTGTCTTGCAAACATATGACTCTCCCAACTGTGTGGGTCATCGAGAGCTTGCCGTGTATTTGGAGCGCTCATCTAGCTCATAGGGGAGGCATTCGTGATCATTTCAATCAGGTTTTATCTTTAATATTTACGAGACTGCCTCCTGCCCCACCCTGATCTGATCTAGAAGGCAAAATAAAGGCAAAGTTCACACTATTACCACCATCATCATCATCACCATAACTACAACTCAAAAGCCTTTGAAGGGCTCAGTGCATTGCAATGGGTAGCTCAAATTTCCAAACCTGGAGAGCCACACAAGCCCAGTCCCTGCGTGTATGGGCTGCAGCACTGGGTCAGGAATCACACTTCCTGCTCAACACTTAACTGTGCCCCCAAACAAGTCACACTCTCTCTGAGCCTCATCCACAAAGTGGGGATAATGCTGCCCTTTTTCCTTCATTGATATCTATCAGGTTCAAATGCAACACTAGGCAAGAAAGTGCTTTGCAAATTGTAAAGTGTGGTTCACAAGGAAGCAAGGGAGCTTTCTTCTCATGCGGTTATGACAGGTTGGCAAAGGATGTATTTGGGACATTAACTTGTTTTCTCCCTGGGGGAGAATCTTTTTCCTGGAGACTGAATGCCTATCCACTGAGACAGAGGCTGGGAAGGAGCTAGTGTAGACACAGGTGCTGGGGGTGGAACTCGTGATGAGGAACCCAAATTACTTTCCAGGGCCCTGGGTGGGCCAAGCCGGTTTGCTAACAGGAATACTCAGCAAGATCTTTGTTTTCTGTTGTTCTCCTCATCCACCTTTCCCTTTTATTGGTAATCAATTTATTTAATCCAAATCTGTGGCATTCTCTTGACAAAGATGAACAAGAGTGAACCACAGCACTGTGTTCCAAGCACTTGGCTTTTACAGTTACCTCATTGACCTTTCTCTCATAGATGGGGAAACTAGGCTTACAAAGGCTAAGTAACATGCTCAAAGTCAGTCAAGTGGTAAGTGGCTATTTGAATCTATTCAAACCCAGATTTTTCAGTACCTTCTCCCCTACACTGCAGTGTTTTAAAGTGCCTCCTGACCCCTACTTTCACAAATTTACTGTGAGTGTGTGTGTTTGTTGGTATAAGGGAGCTCTGGATTGTTCATCTGCCTGAAAACACCTTAGACACACAATTTCTAAGCCCAGGAGGGACAGTGGAGTTTACTTAATCCAATTTATTTTGCAGATAGAGAATCTGAGGCCAAGAGATAGGAGGTGACTTTTCCCACACCCTCTATCATTTTGGTGTCTTGTAATAGGTGTCTTCCATTCCCACTCTTGCCTTCGCTCTGGGTGAGCCAGGATGCCTTTGCCTGCAGATACCTTTCCACAAAAGAATAGCTACCTTGCGCTGAGCATTCACTCTTCAACAAACATTTACTGAGTGCTTACTATGTGCTGGGAACACATAGAGGTGGTGTGAATATGATGAGCAAGAAAAACACTGCCTCTGCCCTCCAGAAGCTTAAAAGTTAATGCAAGAGCCAGTAAAAAGTGCCTAAAGGTAATTTCTGATGCTAGAAAGTAAATTAAAAGAGGTAAAGGTGATGGGGTAGGGTTTGAAACGGAGCAGTCAGGAAAAGCCTGACCACCTAGTATACATCAGCGGCTGGCACTGTCACTACAATCCCTAGACGCTGTGAGCTCCGTTTTGCCGACAAGATAACCGACGTTGAGAGGAGATAAGAGTGGCAGCCAAGTCCTAAACTTCTTACCCCGACTTCCTAACAACCCACGTGGTGCGGCCCCCGTGGAGTGGCCACAGCCACCGTCGGGCGTGGATGATGAAACTCAGGGCAAGGACTGCACCATCTCTCAGCCTGTGTCCTTGCAGGTGTTGGGGGAGGGTGGGTGTCGGGGAATGCGGGGTGCGCCTCCAGGGAGAAGCCACATATAGCTCTAAATTCGCAGAAGGCTGAGAAGACATTCCCAGTCAGACCCCCTCGGGGCTCTCCATCCCCTCTGCCAGACAAAGAGCCCGCCCATCTGGCAGCAGAGCCAGACCATCGCTCCCGCCTCCTGCCCCGCCCCCGATCAGGCCAGCGCGAGGCACTATGGGACTTGTAGTTCGGGCAGCTCGCCACACCTGCTCCGAAAACAGACTAGAAAACTACATGGCCCAGGAGCCAGCGGGCGGGCCCCGGGCGGACTCGCCGGCTGTGGGCGTGCGAGCGCAGGGGGCCAAGCGGCGCGGGCGCTAGGATGCAGCTGCGGGCTCGGGAGTCGTGGAGCAGCTCCTGGCGCGCGCGCTAGACCGACAAGGCTAGGGGTGGCCAGGGAGCGACAGGCACGTTGCATGCATGCATTGAGCGCAGTCTTTGTAAAACCTGGTTGTGCAGCGCTTTGGCTCTGGCGTGGCGTGGTACAGGGTCCGAGTTGCCGGGGGATGGGCACTCGACCCCGGAGCCTCTGGCTCGTCTCGCTGAAAGAACCTTTGGCTGGGCTTGGGGGCGGGGGCACGGGTGCCCGTCTTGGGCTGTGCGCGACGTGTTTGTTCTCTTTCCCTTTTTGTGCCAAGGTTTCTCTGGGCCGGCGCGCGATGCAACGGGCGGCGGCGCTAGTTCGGCGGGGCTGCTGCCCCCGGCCCCCAGGCCCCTGGGGCCGTAGTCAGAGCAGTGCGGCTGCCGAGGCCTCGGCGGTGCTCAA